AGCACTGCTGTTCAGCTTGTGACCACAGCATTGCCTAAAAATGCCATAATATACTTGTTCATGCTATTATGTAGCGATGATATTATTACAGAAGACCCCTGACTGATAAAACTGACCAGGGTTCTGATAATTGCAGGATTGTGGTGATATTTAGCGCTGTGCTCCATGGAGGGAGGAGTAATGCTGTGGGAGGGAGGGTGGTGGCATTGTCTTCTGACTGCGTGTGGCCACCTTTTATTGACTGCACTCACCATACCAGCTTAGTGGTTCGCTATGGTGAACACAAATGTAGACACTTATATATAACGTGTGTATAGAGGGTATAAACATAGTGTATAGAGGCCCCTAAAGAAAGTGAAGAGTCCAGGGGAAAGACGGCAACAAAAAGGCCGCTGGTAAGACCCAGAAGTCTTGGTAGGAGGAACAGGCTCGAAAACCTTCATCCCCATCCCAAACAGGGCAGCCCCTGAAGCCGCCCGAGTCTTGTCCCCAACTAAACCCCGCCTTGACTCCAAAACCCACAGACTGTCAGGAGCCAGGAACAGGGAGGGAAAGAGGCGAACAGCACCTAACCAAAATGGGGCGACCCCGGGGCATCCGGGTGGGAAACCAACCTAGCGCATTACAGCAACCTAAACCGAACTTGCAACGTGGATGCTGCCTGTACTCTGAACAGTAAGGACATCAGGAGAGTACTGGAGAACAAGCAAAGAATATCTCTCGCAAGACTCCGGGTCAAGGTGTCGGTGACCCAACAGGCAGCATGATGGAGGTAAAAGTGGCGACTGTCACCCCAGAGACGGGATGGAACCCAACGAACCCACCAAGACGAGATGGAACCCGGAAGACACATCCAGTGGTCCACCGAGCCCCGACAGGGTTTTCCAGGGCCTGTAGGCTGACTGCTCCGGGAAGCCTGGGCAAGGTGTTGCTAACCAGTTAACACCCAAAACTAACAAGGGGTAGAGGCCAACACTGAAAACCCCTGCGACGTGTACAATCATGGGGGGGGGGCTAGCAGAGGGCCACCAAACACTACCAGTGGAACTATAGCCACACTAGGCAGACCCTGACCAGGCAAAGAAAATAAGAAAAGAAAAGAAAAACCCCGCAAAAGTACACCATCCCCAGAGGCAACAGGAACCGGCCGTCGTGTAGGTAGTAAGTCGCGCAATACATTGATGCCCTAACCAGCACAATTCCAATCCCACCAAGGCCAAACAAGGTCCCCCAAGCCCCAGCTGGCCCCAAGGGCGAGGCAAATGCCGAGCAGCAAGAACCTCTACAGAACTGGTTCTCGAACGCCCCGAGAAAAATAGCCCATTCATGCAGGGGCAGTACTCACAGGGCACTTAGGGAAGGAAGCCCCTAAGCACATGGAGCCCTAGTAATGATGAGGAAGACCTGGCCACTGCACAACACAAAAACACGGCAGTGAGCGCCACAAAGGCAAACACCGCCTCGGAAACTGAGGCCAGAGAAGCGTCTGTCCCGGTTGACATTAGCTTATGAACTGGAGTGCTGTGCAGCTGGCGCGGTGAGGTCCAGAGCCGCTTCTCCCCCTCTTGGGGAGGAGAGGGCTGCGCGGACGAGCGGCGCAGCAGTAGTGTAATTACCCAAGTGTAGTTACAGGATGAGAGCTACGCTCGTGGTGTCCCGTCTCCCCTGCACTCTTTGTCATATAATGCTTTGAAACTACTGACGGTCTTGGCCTCCACTACCTTCTCACCTAACTTGTTCCAACCGTCTACCACTCTGTTTACAAAAGTGAATTTTCTTATATATCACCGGCAGCTTTGTTTCGTTGGTTTAAATCTATGACCTCTTGTTCTTGAAGTTCCGGGTCTCAGGAATTCTTCCCTATCAATTTTATCGATTCCTGTTACTATTTTGAACATAGTGATCATATTGCCTCTTTTTCTTCTATCTTCTAGTTTTGGCATTTTTAATGCCTCTAACCTCTCCTCGTAGCTCTTGCCCTTCAGTTCTGGGAGCCACTTAGTGGCATGTTGTTGCACCTTTTCCAGTTTGTTAATGTGCTTCTTGTGTTACGTTTGCTTGTTTCCTTGGGATTGTAGGGAGTTCCAACTCTCTGTTCTGTTTTTGTTGTTAGTTTCTTACCATGTGGGGTTTGTTTTATTATGCCTACCTTTCTGGGTGCCTAACCCCATTTGATTGCAGATAAGGAAAACTCCTAACAACAGGGGGGGGGGGGGTTCCAGGGCCTTTGCTCCCTGCAACTTCTCTGAAGGGGCCAGGTTCTGACCCTGCTCTTTGGTAGGTTTGAACTCAATAGCTAATATCCCGGTCTAATATAACATACATTAGCCTGATAAGCTCCAGGGAAACCATAGGGGATCCCCCACAGAAAAAGAAATATTGGATCGATGTGCTCTCTTTTTCTCTCCTCCTCATTTTGATGTGGCCCCTTTGGTTCAGGATTGCTTCAAGAAGGCATTGTTTTTGTTGGCTTTGGCCTTCCCTTTGGGTTGGGGAGCTTCATGCTCTTCTCTAGTGCAAAGGTTTCTCCTCCTTTGGCCCTGGGGGGCGTTTTGTTTGCTTGCAACCATCTACTTCTTTTCTGGAGAAGAAGTAGATGGCGAAGGTTCCGGAGGAGTCTGTGGGTTACTGATGCTTGGTTAGTCAGGCCAGGGATGCATCATGTTTTGTGTCCGGTTGCGGCTCTCCGCCTTCACCTGCGCGCCTCGGGTTCTGTATCCGGGTACATGCTTGGGTTGATCCAGCTTTCCTCGTTCCCTCTTCCAGGGCTTGGGTCTCTCAGGTCGTCAGAAAGGTTATCAAGTCTAGCCAGCCTGCGGTCTACCCTCGTGTCCATGATGTGCAGAAGTTACAGCTCTTGTTGCGGTTTTAGTAACTTGTCTTGGGTTGACATTTGGGCACAGGGATTTTGGAGGTCGAACAAGGCCCTGGCTGCCCGTTATCTTGTTAACGTGCTAGGCCCTCGGCAGCCTTGTGTAGCTATCTTCTCTTCTTGAGGTTATCTTGAGATGATTTTGGGGCTTTAGTGTCCCCGCGGCCCGGTCCTCGACCAGGCCTCCACCCCCAGGAAGCAGCCCATGACAGTTGACTAACACCCAGGTACCTATTTTACTGCTAGGTAACAGGGGCATAGGGTGAGAGAAATTCTGCCGATTGTTTCTCGCCGGCACCCAGGATCGAACCGGGACCACAGGATCACAAGTCCAGTGTGCTGTCCGCTCGGCCGACCGGCTCCCCAACGGCTATGAAGTATTTGTTGTGGCCAGTTGTCCCATCTTTGTCATGAGTCATGCAATGCTGCCACCTCCCGGTTAAGTTCCCCTTACTTATCTGTGGGCATATAGCGTCAGGGATCCGACGGGGCTCACCTCAGAAAACCTGCGTTGAATGTAATGAAACGCTATTTTCTGGGTTGAGCTCGGGAGGCTCCCTGATACCCTCCCTCCCTCTGGTCAGCGGTTTGTTATCAGTCTACGAACTGCTGACCTCCCCCCTCACAAACGGGGTCACAAACGAGCGGGCGTGCTGTTTGATTAGACATTTGCTTGTTTGTTGTTTCCTTTTTGGGGAAGTTCTTGAGCTCTGTTTGGTCTTCTGTTGCAATGTTTTAACAGTAGGGGGTTTGTAATGGTTTGTCTATCTTTCTGGGTGATAGCTCCAGTCAGTGACAGACATGACTATACTCTCACAAAGTGGAGTGTTCATAAGCAATTGCTTCCTGTGCCACTCTTGAGTGAACCAGGTTCTGGCTCATGGTTTCTGGTAGGCAAAGAGCTCCAACTCCAATTAACTGATGCTAATTGTTAAGGGGTTTAACTCTTGAGGCTCAAGAGGTGGGCACTTAACAGCTGAGTGGACAGTGCTTTGGATTCGTAGTCCAGACGTTCCGGGTTTGATCCCTGGTGGAGTTGGAGACAAATGGGCAAAAAGTTTCTTTCACCCTGATGCTCCTGTTACCTAGCAGTAAATAGGTACCTGGTAGTTAGACAGCTGCTATGGGCTGCTTCCTGGGGGTGTGTAACAAAAAGGAGGCCTGGTTGAAGACGGGCCACGAGAACGCTAAGCCCCGAAATCATCTCAAGATAACCTCAAGATAATCTATGCTTTGGACTAATATAGCAGATATCAGTCCATTACCTTCAGGGAGCCTCCGGGGCTCAACTCAGAAAATGTCATTTCATTACATTCAATGCTGGTTTTTTCTAGTCCAATTTCCTTGTGCACTGCATTCTTGTCGCCGTAATCAGAACATGCTGCCATTGTGTGGCAGCAACCCGTTCTCTCAAATTTAATAAGTCAATATTGACTTATTAAATATGTGCATAGGTGACATACTTAACATAATAGATACCCTTAAAAAGATTCATAGAAAACACCAACCTTACCTAACCTACTTAGTATGTTAAGATAAGCATCTTATTGCTTCGTAATTATAATTATTACCTAACCTATAATAGGTATAGGTTAAGTAATAATTCTAATTACGAAGCTATAAGATGCTTATCTTAAGATACTAACAAGGTTAGGTGAGGTCGGTGTTTTCTATGAATCTTTATAAGGGTATCTATTATGTTTAGTATATCACCTATGCACGTAGTTAATAAGTCAATATTGACTTTACGAATTTGCGAGAACGGGTTATGGGTAGTGTTCAGGTGGGTCAGCTGACAGCTCACAAGAGATCTACTTGGCAGGCCTTGTGATGTCAAGTACACTTTGGAAAATATTTGTGTCTTTATGTCTAAACTTTGTCATCACTTGGACTTGGATTGAGCTTTTCTCCATCAAGTGCCTCGTTATGATCAGTTAGACCGGACAAGGAAGATTGATAAGATTCCTGTTGCAGCAGTAGAATGTCATCTTGCCCTTACTGTCGTGATAAAAATATTTTAGGACAATGATTGATCTTTTCTTGATCCTTGTGTTTTGTTCTGAAAGGAAATTTTTCTATTCACCCATAACCTAATTTTATATCACTTTATTTTTTTTTCTTTTTACAGTGATTACAGCCACTGCAAATTGGAATTTGAAGTGACAGATTTCTTCATGTTTGGCTGTCCTCTTGCTCTAGTGCTAGTGTATCGGAAAATGATTATTACCTCTGATAAAAACTGTAAGTATTTTATGCATAAGCATTATTTAAAAAAATATACTTTGTGATAGCTCTTACTACCAATGGTATATCTATCATTTCATTAATGAAATATGTATTTATAATGGCAAATGTGGGTATATTTTTCATAATATAAAACTTACATTATATTATATATACATTAACCCTCAAGATGAAGTTATTGTCATGTAATTACCTGAGTGTAGTTACAGGATGAGAACTACACTCATGGTGTCCTGTCCTTCCAGCACTCTTTGTCATACAGTATTATCCTTTGAAACTACTGACAGTTCTGGCCTCCACCACCTTCTAACCTAACTTGTTCCAACCGTCTACCACTCTGTTTACGAAAGTGAATTTTCATATATTTCTTCAGAAGCTTTGTTTAATTAGTTTATACCTATGACCTCTTGTTCTTGAAGTTCCAGGTCTCAGGAATTCTTCCCTATCAATTTTATCAACTCTTGTTACTATTTTGTATGCAGTGATCATATTGCCTCTCTTCTATCATCTAGTTTTGGTATATTTAACCACTGCACTGCGTAACTCACCTCGGGGATCTTATAGGCATAGCGTACCATTCAAAACTGGTGTGCGGTGACTTGTGTACAAAATGGATGCCTGACGACCCCAGTGATCATCCGCCATTTTGAAAAAAATTCCACCATGCCCCAGGGCCGTGGGGAGCCTCAGTTTCAAGGAAGCAACTATGTCTGACACATTGTCTACGAGCTCCCACTCCACGGTCAGCCACGGTCATGGAAAACGACTCTCAGAGGAGGAAATATGCGACATATTGTATGATGATGGTGCCATGGATGATGATTTAGACTACGATCCAGAGAAAGACCTTACACAGAGGTCTGACACGAGTGAGGGAGAGACTGAGGTGGAGGATGTCACGAATGTATACAGTACACACGCCTCGCCAGGCCTGTCTCGCCGACCTGGGTCAACACCGCAAGAGTCACCATCACCATGTGTGTCCTCTGATGCAAATCTATTCAGTACTTACGATGAATCATTCTTGGGCTTCAGTGACATAGGCTCCGATACAAGTAGTGTTGACGAACTGAGTACGAGCAGCGAGGGTGTTACTAACCGGGGTTTTGCTGCTCCAGCAACATGCCAAGGCAAGAGGCAGCATGTCACACTGCCAGACGACAATGACGATGGTATTCCCTCGACATCAGGTGTTCGTGGTAGGTCTACGATACGCAGAACAGCCTCATCTCCTGGCATACCTAAATGCAGATCTAGCAAAAGACCATGGAGCTGTGTTTCTAATGCTCGCTGTGGTGTTGGCACCAAAACCAAACCTCTGGGTGTACTTATATGGTAGGATTGTGAGAGATTTGTCCCACAAATTCCAACATTTTTTTTTTTTTTTTTTGAGATATATACAAGAGTTGTTACATTCTTGTACAGCCACTAGTACGCGTAGCATTTCGGGCAAGTCCTTAATCCTATGGTCCCTGGAATACGATCCCCTGCCGCGAAGAATCGTTTTTTCATCCAAGTACACATTTTACTGTTGCGTTAAACAGAGGCTACAGTTAAGGAATTGCGCCCAGTAAATCCTCCCCGGCCAGGATACGAACCCATGACATAGCGCTCGCGGAACGCCAGGCGAGTGTCTTACCACTACATCATGGAGACTGCATTTGATGGTACCGATTTTGGTGTGACACCATTATTTCCCTATACAGGTGACGACATGGCTGAAATCGACTACAATGGGGCCTCGACTTACGATGCTAATCCGTTCCCGGAGACGGATCGTAAGTCGAAATATCGTAAGTCGAAGCAATTTTTCCCATAAGAAATAAATGGATTTGAATTAATCCGTTCCCCACCCTCCAAAATATTGACATACAAATACATTTTATACTGAATACAATGATTTTTTCTAACTACAATACAGTACCAAAGTTTCACTTACCTTTATGGAGGGCTCTGGATGGCGTATGGAAGATGGTGATGAGGGGGGGGGGGGAGGAGGAGAGTAGTTACTGTTTGGAAGGGAAGTCCCCTTCCATTATAACATCAGGCAGTGATGTTTTCTCTGGGGTACTCTCTCTCTCCTACGTTTTGCCTGAATACCACTAGGACCTGGTTCTGGTTCAGTGCTTGTTTATCTCACTACAAATTTGTCAAGAGACATTTGTTTTTCCCTTCTTTTTAACGTTAGACGGTAATGATGCATCACAGTGTCATTGAATAGGTTAAGGCAACGACATACTGCAGCTTGATTTGGGTGAGTTGTTTCAGCAAAGGTTTGCAATTCTTCCCATATTGCACACATTTTCTTAATTTTTGAGGAAGAAACATCCTCTACTGGCACATCCTCCCCTGAAGAAATTTCCTCAGCTACCTCTTCTTGCTGCTTCTTTTGAAGGGCTTGGAGTTCTTTGGTGGTCAGTTCTTCATTGTGTTCTTCCACCAACTCCTCCACATCAGCCCCATCCAACTCCAAACACAATTGCCGACCCAGAGAAACAATTTCCTCAATGAGAGACACTTCAGGTTCAGGCTCAAACCCCTCAAAGTCTCGTTCTGCAACACATTCAGGCCACAGTTTTCTCCAGCCCGAGATCATGGTTCTTACAGTCACTTCTTGCCAGGCTTTGTCAACAAGTTTTAAAGCACTATAAATGTTAAAATGGTTTTTCCAGAACTCTTTGAGGGTGAGGTTTGTGGCATCCGTCACTTCGACACATCTCCGGAAAAGTGCCCTTTATGAAAGTTTCTTAAAATTGGCAATGATTTTCTGGTCCATAGGTTGAAGTAGAGGAGTGGTGTTGGGAGGAAGGAACTTTATTGTAAGAAACTTAAATTCCTCATCCAATGAATCCTCCAAGCCTGGAGGATGGGCAGGAGCATTATCGAGGAGAAGCAGGGCCTTGAGTGGCAAACTGTTCTCCTGCAAATATTTTTTGATGGCAGGGCACACCACCATATTCACCCACTCCGTTAAAAATTGCCTAGTCACCCATGCCTTAGCTTTAGCCTTCCACATCACACACATTTTGTGTTTCTGCACATTATATTTTTTGAAAACCCTTGGATTTTCGGAATGATACACAAGCAAGGGTTTAATTTTCAAATCGCCACTCGCATTACCACACAACACAAGAGTAAACCGATCTTTCATAGGCTTGTGTCCAGGCAATGACTTCTCCTCCTTGGTAATGTATGTTTTCTTTGGCAATCTTTTCCAGAATAGGCCTGTCTCGTCACAAACACTTGTTGTGGTAGGTATGCCACACTCTGCACAAAATCTTTAAATTCGCCAATGAATCTTTCAGCCGCTGGTTTGTCTGCGCTAGCAGCCTTCCTATGCCTCACAACACTATGAATTCCACTTCTTTTTCTAAATTTCTCAAACCATCCCCTGCTTGCCTTAAACTCTTTCACTTCTGCATCACTCATTCCAAGGGTTTTCATTAAAAGGTCTTCATGCAATTTTCTTGCCTTTTCACAAATGATGGCCTCCGAAACGCTATCACCCGCTAACTCCTTGTTGTGTATCCAAATTAATAATAACTGTTCAACATCCTCAAGTGTTTGTGTTCTATGTTTCGTGATTATTGATACACCTTTTGCCACTTTAGCACTCAAAATGTCCTTTTTCTTAGCCAGTATGGTGGATATCGTTGACTGAGATTTGTTGTACTGCCTAGTCAGTTCACCTACCCGCACACCATCTTCATATTTACAAATGATCTCTTGTTTCTGCTCTATGGTCATTCTTACATGGGATCTCATATGTTGAGCCTTACCACTGACTTTCCTGGGACTCATGGCGCAATAGATAATAATTACTTTAATGTTCAAAATGCAAAAAATCACCACAAAAGCGGAATATCTTATAGGCGCGATCGTCACTTAGCGGGCAGCTGTAGTACACTGAGGCAAGGCGGCCGCGTGACCGGGAACCACACGCTAAGTCGACCCGAACGTGTACCAACGAATATCGGATGTCGAGTGGCATTTTTCAATGAAATTTATATCGTAACTCGAAATTATCCTAAGTAGGGGCAATCGTATGTCGAGGTGCCACTGTATTTCCTGGCATATTTTGATAATGAATTCATAAACCATCTTATGGCAGAGACGAACAGATACGCTCACAGCCTCATAGACACCTTCATTTTATCTGCCTCTTGCATGACAAGATGGAAGGACACCACAAATGAGGAAATGTACGTGTTTCTTGCGTTGAGCATGATGATGAAACACTCTGAGAAACACATCATCCAGGATTATTGGAGCAAAGACAGCCTTGTTCCATCCCTCGTGTTCAACAGGTACATGTCATGTGATAGGTTCCTGCTGCTTCTCAGGTGCCTGCACTCTGAGAATAACGAAAATGAAGACAGACAAGACAGACTTTGGAAGGTGCAGAAGATTTTTAGTGATATGAGAGGCAAGTTCCGTGACTATTTTGTACCAGGAGAAAATGTGATTGATGAATTGCTACTCCTCTTCAAGGGACAACTTGCATTCAAGCAGTACATCCCATCAAAGCGACACCAGTTTGGACTAAAGTTTTTCGTGCTGTATCTGCAAAACTTGTATCGTCATGAACATGATACTGTATTCAGGTACAGACGTCGACATACCAGGTCAAGATCCACACGGGTTCTTTGGCAGTGTCGTCAAAGCCCTCATGGAACGTTGCTAAACAAGGGGCATGTACTGTTCACCGACAAATACTATACCAGCCCCTTGTTGACCAGATGCCTCCTTGACCACAACACCGGCATATGTGGCACTGTGAAGGCCCATAGGAGGGAAATGCCAGTGTTTGGCATAGGTATTGCAGTGGGTGATTGCCATTTCGTTCTCGATCTGGACACTTGGATGATTTCCCTAGACATAAAAAATGTGTATTGGCATTTCCCTATCTATCTGGGGTTCAGAAATTGGTCAGGTTTTGTGATAGGGTGATAGACTTTCTGCTTCTCTCTTTCGGGCTGTATCTGGCACCTTGCATT